TAAAAAATATTTATATGCTTTATTAGAATTTTTAGCTATAAAATATATAATTAAAGATAAATTTTTTTTCTTAAGCTAGTTTAAACTAGTATCCCCTCTTTTAGACTCATGAAAATTAAAACAGGCATTTCCCAAAGCTTGTCTTTTCCAACCAAAGAGTTTTTAATACACTGCCATTCTCTTTTTTATAAAGTTTGGAGTATGTAGAATAAAATAAATAAAGAATTTCCGCTTTAACAACACCCAGCTCACTCGCCATTCTTTCTATCAAAAAATGCACTCAACTTTTCGACCTACAAAAAGACAAATTGTGTTAAGAGTTATTTCCATTTCCGCCCTTTTAGAGCTCGGTTGAAGGCTTCAAAAGAGCTTTTGTTTAGTCAACGATTTGTTTTTATAAATTACATATTTCAAATTTTTCAAGGATTTTTTCATTGTCATAAGAGACGGGACAGAGAAAAATGCAGATTGTGAAATTTACTGGGAATGTGTGTTGTTTGTTAGGACGGTATTGTTAGAAATAAAAAACTTTGGTGTTTTATATTAGCAATGCTTGCTGAAAGGATGCAAGGGTAATTTATGCAAATTTAAACCTTTTCACTAATATTTCTAGGTCAAATTTATTATAATTATTATTATATTTTTTAAATTTATTTAAATGCAAAGTTACAGGTTGACAAATGAGATTGAATATGCACAATTTGATTGGCTATCCAGAAATATTTCTTGTTTTCTTCTTTCTATTGATAATTTTGCCAATCGACTACATTGTTCATTTTCATGGTTTAATAGTGTTTAAAAATATTTTTTTGTGATTTTTTATTACCTCTTTCATCATTATGTATATTTAGGTTATCTAGAATGGTTTTATTGCTGAGATACCAAGATCCACTGACTATTATTCTAATAATTTGGGATTGGAGTGACGATAAATGTTTCGATATGTGGTGTTCGTGTATATCAAGGTATAAAAAATGATTATTAAGAGCTTAAAAACTTTTATTTTAAAGAAGATCCTTTCGGAATTGAACCATTCCATCATCAGTTTACTAGAAGAGAGAGTAAAAAAAACAATATTAAAAACACGTAAGTTGAAATTTAAATGTATAGAAAGAACACGTTGGTTTTTTACTACTTACATAAAAAGTTGTTAAAAACATTGTTTGGCCACAGAAAAACAATAGAAGGACATCAGTAACAAAAAAAAATCCTCATAGAATTTACAAAGGTAAATGCACACGGTACAACAACGGTAATTAATAAAAACTAAAAAGGGGGGCATCTAACATGACCCCCAGGAGCAGGTGAGATATTGTAGACTTACATTATGATCTGATCTGATCTTTGCTGGAGTTTAAAGCATCAGTCAATAAAATAATTATAGCCAGAATGATTGCCAATATTCGGAACGAATAGGCACTGAAAGAAGAAGAAGAATGAGGTTAACTGATAGAAAGATGGTATGAAAAATTAGTCAGTACCCGTCAATGTCCAGTGGAATGATGAGGTAGGAGCAAAAGTCATTGTCCTTCCGTTTATGAATAGGCCGTTTTTTGTGAAGAATAATTATGTTTAATGTGTAGTAGGATCAATAGCAATTTTTGATATGTTAAAAAGAGGGGAGAATGTCAAACAATGAGTGACTGTGATGTAAATTAAATTTGGTATACCAGGGTAAGACCAAATTTTAAGTTGGTAATTATAAATTAAATCATTATCAAAAGTGAAAAAAAGGATGTTATTACCTAATTATTTCATTATAGGAAGTAAGTAGAGATAAAAGTTAATTTGAAAATTATGGAAGATGAATCGAGGAAAAAGAAATAGGAGATATAAACGTGAAGATGTAAGCTAGGGATATTGAAAAAGACTGTGATAGGATATGATAGACGTAAAGTGAGTATTTATAAGAAAACCTGAGTGATTAGTTAGGATGGAAATTATTTGAGAGGATGGGAAATTCGATATTAGAAAAAGGATGTTAGTGTATTAATGGTGACAAGAATAGTGTTAAGTATGTTAAGTATGTATAGTTAAAAGAAAGAAACTTGGATCAGGAGAATAATTGTCGACGTAGTATGACGAAGTCTCTATTAAGGCTGGTGGGATGATTAACACAATTGGACACTATTTTTCTTTTCCTTGACGATCTCCAAATCCTCAAAAAGGTCAAGTTTTGAGATAATCTCTACCTGGGATGTGATGAAGAAGAGAAATATCATCTGGTATCTTGATTGTGTGATTGTGATATTTAAGATGGTGGGAAAAAGAAGAAGCATTCTCTAACTTAGAATGTTCATTGGCCTTAGTTATTATCTAGAATCCACTCAAATCATGATTAACAATGTAATTCTACATCTTAATGGCGGAGAAAGTAGAAGACCTGCAAGCCATTTTAAACAAGGTAGTCACAGGTAGTGAATAGAAAGGGTTAACAATGAATGTCAAGAAGACTAAATTCATGATTATTTCAAAAAACAAAGACTGAATGCAAATCTGTACATTCACAATAACGAAATCGAACTGGTGCACAAATATAAATACTTGGAAACAAGTGTTAATAACAACAATGACATCACAGAAGAAATAAAAACTAGAGTTGGAAAGGCTCGAGCTGCTTTTGTTAATATGGACATTCTGGGAAGTCATGACATTAACCTAAACCTGAAAATGAGATTGGTTAGATCAGGGGTGCTCAAACTTGAACTGCTGGCGATCTACCTCAATATTTTTAGACTACTTACGATCGACTCTGAGAGACTGCAAGTGTGTGTGATGCAGGGTTGTCGTACATACACGATACACCCTACCTACCTAGGTAGGGCGTACCGTAGCATATATAGATATTAGCTTTCTGCACAATATAGGTACATTATTTTAGTCAAGGTTTGGGTTAGGTTTAGTTAGGTTCTTCTCTACAATATCAATGAAAAAACTCATAGTTATTCAAAATTGCGAGTTTATTTGTTGTTACAAAACAAAAGAGTTACATATGGTGTTAAACTTAACTAAGGAGTGGCTTTGGATGTTGAAGCGTGGCACTGCATGTCCTCAGCATACTTTTCATAAGATGGTACGTAACCACTGAGTGCTAATCGCAAGCATGATGTCATATGATCGCCAGTTAGTCGATTGCGATATTTTGACTTAATTATCTTCATTTCAGAAAATGCAACCTCGCACAAGTAAATTGACACAAAAAATGCCGTCAGTTGAAGGGCGATTTGCCTTACATTCGGATATTTATCTTCAGATATAAAACGCGAAAAATTTGTATCAGATAATGTAGCTTTGAGATGTATATCTGATATAATCTGCACCAACTCATTTTCAACAGAACATGAGTTCATATTAAACTGACTTGCTATTTCAGTAGCTAATTCCTCAATGTTTTTACATGAAAAAGGATAACTCATAAATCACTTACTTTTCGTTTTCTTAATTCTCTCTGTGGCGGAAAATCCTTTTCATAGTTTTTATGAACCGTTTTATGATCCCTCTCTAAGTTGCCACGATAAGGTATTGCAACTGACGCACGACAAATAACACAAATGCACTTATCCTTCACCATAGAAAAGAAAAATTCTTCCTACCAATCCGTATTAAAATGATACGTTTTAGATTTCTTCACTGCACTCATTTTCCACTATTTAATAATAAACTTTGTATCGACGTAGGATCGCTATCAAGTTACAATTCAGAATAACTCCAATTCCTGCAGGCGCAACATTTATATCGGCGTGAACGAAAGTCTCGAATGTTCCCGTCAAAGGTGCCGCCCGAAACTAGACTGTACTGTCTCTCGTCTAGAAACAACACGACTTTTCTTTGACAAGTGCCGCGCGTTCCTTTGATAAAGCCACCTTTTGCCGCAAGCAGTGTTATTTTATTACGTAATACATTTTTGTAGTTGATAGAATATCATCCCAAATTTGATTAATAATTATAATAAATATTGAATTTATAAAATAATTAGTTAATATATGTAAATATAAAATATGCTGTGTGGACAGTATTTTGTTGTCTCCACTTCTTTGAATTGCAATGATGCTTAGTCAAGCATTCTATGTATTTGTATAGTTCAGTATTAATAAAAACGTTTAACTCTGCTGACAGTAGTTTAGTTACCTACCTACTTATTAAAAAAATTTTTTCTTACTTACTTTCTACTTTCTTTCTTAAAAAACTTTCTAAAAATCAAGGAAAGATACAGGGCAAACGAAGCGTGGGGAGACGATGTATATCTTGGCTGCGCAGTTTAAGAGACTGGTTCCAGTGCACATATAATTAATTATTTAAAGTAACAGCTTCAAAGATAAGAATAGCAATGATGATTACCAAACTCCGTAGCGGAGAGTGCACTTGAAGAAGAAGAACACATTTAAAATAACATTCTCAGCAAAATTCAGCTTGTTTATCTCGTTTTTAGAGGTAAAATTCCTGATGACTTAACTAATGGTAGTTTTTTTTTTATCGTTGGGTGCTTTAAAAAAGAAATTATTTGTTTTATATTGTGTTTTCTTTAAACGGCCTTTAAATTTTAGATAAAAAAAAATGATGGTTATATAATACGAAACAGTGGAATATTTCAGACCGAACATTAAAAAGAAATTAAACATTAAAAAAAAATTAAACAAGAAAAGTTAAAAGTTAACTTTTTTAACAAAACAAAGTTTTGTTCCATTGCTATTAAAAGTATTTACTCTTTTCTCCGTTAACTGCCTTACTATGCCTTGTCGCTTAATTTTATTCTACATTTTCTCAACTTGTTTCAACATTAACGACATCGGATAACATAAATGCCCATCAGCGTTAAAACACTTTGATTATTAAAGGACCAGCGTATTGGCTAAACCTCCAGATATCCGATTCCAATGGCGAAAAGTAGGTAACCTAATTCCTTGCCACAATTAATTGAACAAATAAGCATTGTGATATAACACCGACTGAAATTCGAATACAGTACCGATTTCAGTGAACTATTTCTGTTTGTGAAAGGCAAGGGTATCAAAATACATTATTTGAGTATAAAAACTACTGTAAGCTAAGGATAAGTATCAGTTGGTTTGGTTTTAAAATAAAGAACAAACATGGTTTTTAAGGTAAGCGGGTTTTTGATTTATACAGGTACAATTTTAAAATAATTTTAAAGATTAAACCAAATTTTACAAAACTGGATATAAGAGGAATGTTTATGTTAACTAATTGATACACTTTTGAAATTCATTTTTATTGTCTTTTATATCTTCTTCTTTTTTGTATGACTACATTCTATTTAATTCATTATGTTTAGTTTTTATCTAAGCTATTCCTGCGACTCTAATCTCCTACTCGTGTGTCTTTATTTTATGATCTGACGACAGCTTTTCATTTTTTTAGTTTCTCCTTCTAAGCCTTTTAACAGCTTTTCATTTCTTCAAAACCGCTTGCGTAATATAGCATATATAACCATATCATTTACTCCCAGTTTTTTTGATATCCTGGTTTCTTATTTTATCCCAGTTTTATTTTATTTTTACGCACAACAGACCGTTAAGGCCTAGGGTATTTTTTTACAACATAATCCTAATATTAGCGAATTACAATTATTTTAAACAAAACTTTAACTTAAATATATCCCAGTTTTACTCCCGTTTGTTTTTACCTACTCTAATGTACATAAGTATTTATTATCTCTTTTTACTGAGTAACTAGCGAGCGAAACTCGAGAAAATTTAATTATCATTACAATCAATAACGGTTTAATATCAGATAAAATAATATGTAAGTTAAACATTCCAGCAGAAAACAAGTTTGAAAAAAACTATAAAATAATAAAACTTTTGAGACTGACCACATTTACTCTGTTTTATGGATCTGTAGGGGAGAAAGGGGCACTTTTGAATGTTTTTTCTTTTTAAGTGTATTATAGTCGGCACGTAATTTTGTGAGAAAATTTACAGAGACCAAAACAAGCAAAATGCTAGTAAAATGGCAACGCTGTTAGAGTTACCACTCCTTTATTGTAGTAGATAGTAGTAGAACAGTAGCGTAGATATCTAATTTTAAATTAAATAAAAGTTTTTACTTTTATTTAATTTTATTTACCAAAAATTTTCATTTTCAATAAAGTTTAAATAAAAAATATCGGTGTTTTTAACTTCTGTGATATATCTTGGGAGTGATAACACTAATCGACTCGACTGAACAGAACTTATTGTAAAATAATAATATCTATATAAAACATTGTTAATAATCATCGAGTTAGAATCTATGGAGAAGCTATGAGCATATTAACGTATGTATTAAAAACGGCATTAGTAGGAGTGGCTAACGATAATACCAATATGGCGGTGACATCAGGGCCAGACTCAATAATAATAAAACTACTATACAAATATGACTAGTTATTCAGAAGATTTAATCATAATCTAAAAAAGTGCAATACATTTTTAATAAACTATGATTTATTTATCCCGCGGTAAACACTAAAAACACGATATATTATATATAAAGATAAATTAATACAGTCAAATAGTATTAATTTATTCTCTGAAATACGGGCCATTACTTTGTTTACATATTTGTATACTAACGTGTGGAACGATATTCCTGAAAATTTTTTATTAACATTACTTCTGCTAATGCAACTAAGTTAAGAACAAGAAACCATTATTATGCACTATCACAATATATTACAGTTTCTATAAAATTATTATAATACTGAAAATATTCGAAAAACAACAAATATAACCAAACATATACGATCTGTCAAAAGTTTCAAAACAATAATACCAATATGGCCGAAGTTAGGTCGTTTTTAGTCACGTGATGCCCTCTCCATAGATTCTAACTCGATGTTAATAATAGTAGTTATTCAGCAAGAATGACAGTGACAGTTTCAGTTGACATCCTACCCTAAAACATTAATAATTTTTGTCCTATCAAGATGTGTATTTATACCCTGTTTTCAAAGATATATAAGCAAAATGAGAATATCTACAATTAAAATAGAAATAAAGGTTTCAACTAACACCTAATAAGTACTTACTATCTACTCAGAATCGCTGTTATCACTAGTATCACTCGTATCATCTAAATTTATATGTAATTTGGTTAATGCTGGTAAATATTTAACATAGTCATTTTCCACTCCGATCACATGTTTTATTTTTATTACATTTTTCCAGTTGGTTGCTGTAATTTTTGTGACTTCTCTTCTAATTAACTGGAGAACAGTAGACAAAAAATTTTGGAGCAACGTTTCTTCTCATTATATTTCCTTTAAGTTGAGCCCATATTAACTCTATTGGGTTCAATGTACAATAATAAGGAGGAAGTCTAAACACAGTATGCCCATTACTACGAGCACAGTTGTCAACAACATATTTCTTTTCGTACTGTTTACTATGAACAAACTCCAACAACTGATTTTTAATATAAGATGTCTCAAAATACAAATCTTCCGTGAATAAAAAATCCTGAATTTTTAATTTATTCCAACTATTATTTGAAGTTTTTTTTCATTAATCTTAAATGATATGATGCGTTGTCCATAATAATCACACTATCTTTAAGTAATTTCGGAAGAAGACATTTTTCAAACCATGATTCAAAAATTGAACTTTCCATATCGTCATGATAATCCAGAGATGCGTTTTTAATTTGTTTTGCAGATATTAATAATGCATCGTCGACCCATCCATTTTCTCCACCGCAGTGTAAAATTATAATTCTCTTTCTTTTATTGGGCGGTACTGAGTTGAAACACTTTTTGTTATTTTTGTCCAACTTTTTTTTCACGGTGTCATGAGTATCATACCAGGTCTCATCTAAATAAACAATATTTCGTTTCATTTTTCGATACTCAGTTATCTATCTGATATAATTGTTTCTTAAAGAAATTATTCTAGTACTTACCATTAATGTATGTCTCTTGTCTATAGTTTTGTACTTAAAATTATTGGCTTTAAGAAATAATCGAAGTGTTGTTGCAGAACACGAGAGAATGCACTTTCGAACTAATTCACTTCGAAGGCTCTCAATAGTTGGAAAAATATTAGCCGCATACATTTGGTATATTGTTCTATTATTCTATTTGGTTCTAGTTATAGATTCAATTAAGTGCGGTTCTATTTTTCTGACTTTGCCACAATCCTTTCTCTTTTGTCTAGAAGAAGATGTTTCTCCTATAATTTTGTAGTGGCTTGCTTTGGGCACTCTGGTTAAAAAACATGTTTCTGCAATTGCCTCTGAATTAGACAATTCAGCACACAGTTCTTCATAAACATTTTTTAGCATACGTTTAGCATCATCAGAAAGGTATTGAAAATGTCGCTTACGTTTTACTACACGCCTTTGTAAATCTTCTAATCGATTAGAGGGTTCCATTGTCTCTTCAGCTACATAATTATTATCGCACCATGTATCAAAATATCGTAATCGTAAAACGTATCAAAAAAAGTAAAAAACGTAAAATATAAAATGTTTTCCGTATAAAGAATACTGAAAAAAGTCACTACCAAACTAACTTGCGGTTCACTATTTGAAATTTGAATTTAACTGAACGCTGTAGCAGTTATGATTTTACTAAAAATATTATTTTCTCCCAAAAATCTGTTGGTCATCTCCGCAATTTAAAAATAAAATATTATAAAAATTTGCCTACCTAAGTTTTCCCCGTCCCGTGCGTTCGGCACTGGACGGTCGAAACCTGATCCCTTATTTTATTACTCCGTAAACTCAGTCAAATACTGATATAATCTTACCCCAAGTATGAATAAGTCTACCGACAAAAGATAATGCATTATGATTTGTCATAACAGCGATATCCGATGTTTTCATTGGCCGTTAGTCCACGTGGACTTGTCATAAGTTCGATGAAAACTTAATTGGTTGATTGTTCATATCTGGTTCATATTTTAAAAGATTATACCAGGCACGTCTGAATGTTAATATCGAGTGGAATCTGGAAACTTTGTATTATTATACGTCTGAGTCATTGATAATTTTACAGACTCCTGGTAGAGTACCTTTTTGTTGAATGATTTTATTACACATACATATATTTTTGCACAGTCTCACAGAAATACGAGGCTACTATATGACTTACTTTGCCTAAGATTATTTTAGGTATCGCAAACAACATTAGCACATCTTCTTCTTCTTAAGGTACCTTCTCCATTACTAAAGGTTGGCTATATCTACAGCAAATTGCTCTCTATATTGAGCTGTTCTTAGTATTGAATGTGTGTCCATGCCTGTTCAGTCTCTTACATTTTTCAACCAGGAGCATTTTCTTCTTCCTGGACCTCTTCTTCTTTCCACTTTCCCTTCCATTATAAATCGTAGGAAGTTGTATTTTTCTCCTCTGTAAATATGTTCTAGATAACTCGTTTTTCTGTTTTTTGCAATATTTCGGAGTTCTCTCTCAGTACCCATTCTTCTTAGCACCTCGTTGTTGGTCACGTGCTCTGTCCAAGAGATCTTCAGCATGAGAACAATGAGCTTCATGATTGTCCATCAATATTAAAATTATGGAATCAAAAGAACACTGCGTATAACTTTTAATATGATTAAGAAACTTAAGAAACAGTTCCTTGGTTATCCATCCAGTACTTGGCGAATTAGCCAAATCCAGGCTTCCCAAGGGAGCTCCATTCAACATTGTATCATGAAAACGGGCTCTTAGAAATATGTACACCGGAGGTACAGCATTTCCTAATGCAATAATTACCCCACACATAGTGTTCAGGATACCTCTCTCTGCTGAAACTATCTGTCCAACTTGTTTAATTCCCTTTTGCGTTACAATGTTTGGAGCTTGCAGGCCAGTGCTCATACCAGTTTCGTCTAAGTTATAGATCCTGTCAGGTGTGAAATTGTGGGTTCAAAGAGCACGTTCAAAGCCATGCGAATTGCAAGCTAGCAGTAACACCACCCAGTTCCGAATATTTTACTTGTATTATCCTTACAACCAAAATTACACACAGATGCGTTTAAATACCGAAAACCTTACTTTCGCTGTTACGTTTGTAAACACAACAACAATCGCTCATGCAACTTCACACTCGTAATATAAATGTAGCAACACCGTATAGTTGTACAGTAACGACAGCCTGTAGGGAATTTGGAATGAAATTGAATACAAAGAAGACAAAAACGATGGTCATCAGCAAGCACCAAAACAGAAGGGTGAAGGTCAATGTCGACGGAACAGATCTGGAAAGAGTAACAAGAACAACGTACCTTGGAAGTAATCTTGATGATACTTGGGACCACTCACTAGAGATAAGAATACGCCTGGAAAAGGCACGTACAATGTTTTACAAAATGCAAAAAGTTCTATGCAATCGCCAGCTGGGCATCTCATTGAGAACTAGAATACTTAAGTGCTATGTTTTCTCCACCTTGCTCTATGGTGTTGAAGCCTGGACAATGACAGAAGCAACACAAAAAAGAATCCAAGCATTCGAACTCTGGTGTTACCGTAAAATGCTCAGAATATGCTAGAAAGAGAGCTTATGCTTATAATAAAAGAACGGAAAACACAATATTTTGGTCACATCATAAGAAATCAAAAGTATGAACTGCTCCAACTTATAATCGAAGGCAAAGTCAATAGCAAAAGAGGACCAGGAAGAAGACGCAACTCTTGGCTTAAAAACCTACGGCAATAGACGAACATGACTTCCATAGAACTATTCAGGGCTGCTACAAATAAGATTAAATGGGCAAATGTAATGGCCAACGTCCTTAAGGATAAGGCACCGTAAGAAGAAGAAGAACACCGTATAACAAAAATTACTAATATTGTGGTGCTTATAAGAGGGAAATTTGAATTGTTCAAATTCACCCCACGTTCAAAATGCTTTTGCATCCTCCTCCACTACTTTGCTATACTACATTATTCTTTTTCCTGCTTTATAGCAGTCCAAGTGTCTTGTGTTTATTATTACTTCTTTTGCTTTCTCTATTTTTTCTTTGTTTTTGTTTTTATTAATAATGGGTCTCCCAATAAGAATGTCCTGATATTTTTTTTAACGAAACGGTAAAAATTGCTGTAAATCAAAAAAAGAAAAGTTTATTGCAAAATATAATAGATAACAATTATGTTCTGAATAACACATCATTCAAATGTCCCCCTCTACTACGTTTGCAGGAGCGAATCCGATGAACCCAATTTTCGGTCACTTTATGCAAAATATCCGCATTAATCTCACGAATGGTGTACTCTATATTCCTCTTCAAGTCTTCAATGGATTGTGGTTTATTCACATAGACCAATGACTTAAGATAGCCCCATAAAAAATAATCCAATGGTGTTAAATTGCAGCTTTTTGGAGACCAAGCATTTAGTCGAAGTTGCTGAATTCTCCTGGGATCTCTGACATCAAGAGAAATCAATGTTTCCGGGAACTTTTCCTTCAATAAATCAATGGTTGGGGCAGGTAGTGTGACATGTGGCACCGTCCTGTTGAAAAAACATGCCATCCAAATCCATTTCATCCAACTGAGGCCACAAAAAATCCGTTATCATCGTTCGATACCTTTCACCGTTAACTGTTAAACCATGTTCGAAAAAATAAGGTCCGATGATGCCACCATGCCATAAACCACACCACACAGTGACTTTTTCTGGATGCAAAGGTTTCTCAAGAATCTCATGTGGATTATTTTCACTCCAAAAACGACAATTTTGCTTATTCACAAAGCCGTTTAACCAAAAATGAGCTTCATCGGAAAAGATTATTTTTTTGAAAAATCGCCATCATTTTCGAGTTTGTCTAGAGCCCAATCAGCGAACAAACGACGCTTATGATGGTCAAGTGGCTTCAGTTCTTGAGTCAGAACAATCTTGTAAGGGTGTAGGCCTAAATCTTTTCTCAGAATTCGCCAAGTTGTCATTCTGGCGAGTCCAAGTTCCTGAGAACGACGATTTACGGACACATTTGCATTCTCCGCTACACTGGCTATTACAGCAGCAATATTGTCCTGAGTTCTTGCATTTCGGCGTCTAGTTGGTGGTTTCGTATCCTGCAAAGTAAATTCACGTTCAAACTTTTCCACGATTCGACGAATTACACGCACATCAGGACGATCATTTGGTCCATAACTTTCACGTAATGCACGATAGGTATTCACAAAAGAACGATTATTAGCATAAAATTTTAGGATAATTTCCAAACGTTGTTCAAGCGTATATCTTGCCATGGTAATTTGTTAGAGTATACTAAATACAAACGTCAAAAAGTGACAGTTCCATCATTTTCAAAATGGCCGCTAAGACATTTCAAAAACAGGACGTCCCTATTGGGAAACCCTGTACTAACACACAATAAAAGGCTTACGTTATTTTTATAGGAAGTTTGTGTCATCGTCTTCTCGATTGCAATCTGTACAGCTACCAACCCAATAAATTATGCAGCCTACCAACAACATCCGAGCTCCGCAGTGGTAACGCAAGTAGTACAGCCTGCAGCTATAGTTCAACGTACAGCAGCAGTAGTCCAACCAGCACTAGTACAACCAGCCTTAGTCCAACCGGCAGTAGCTTCAGTAAACGTTCCAGTAGTTCAAACACGAGTAGAACCTTACGATCCTAATCCACAATACAGTTATGCCTATTCCGTAAATGATCAAAACACAGGTATGTTTTATTCGAGTATATATATATATATATATATATATATATATATATATATATATATATATATATATATATATCATTTTTTGTCTGTAAGCAAACAATTAAATTTTTTGTTAATGTAAATATGATAAATTATTTTAATTCGTCTTAACATTTTTTTTTCGTTTGAGGCTTTTGTAATCCAAGAAATTTTAAAAATAGGCCTATATAGCTACATTTCGAATGCCTCCAATTTTTTACGGATTGGGCTTTCACACAGTTCAAGCTTCTACCCCTTATAGCAGTTGCGACGAAATTCGACGAACCTTAATCTGATAACCATACTCAATATCTTATTTGTAAACATTGACGAGCTATTCTAATTCTAACCTTGCTCTCCTCATGTTGATCTAACTGAGTTTATAATTGCTCAGAGGTATTTATACTTCGTCGATCCTCTCTAACGGTTTACCCTCCAATGTATGTAGGGGAAAGGTAGATAAAGTGGAATAATTACCGATTCAAGCTTGTATCCCGGTAGAAGTATTCGTCTTAAAAGTTTGAGTTTATGGAAGAAGCCACTTACGTTATAGCCCTACGTAGTACTGTTAAGAAATTAAACTAATATATCACCACTTCGGAGAAAAACGTCAAAAGTAAAAGTGGTGTAATATTCCACTTTACCCGCCATATTGGAGATAAAGCGGAATACAAAAACTTAAAATGGATTAATATTATTTATTCAACTAAGCATATAAACAGAGCTCAGGAACATTGAAAAACCCTCGTCTTAACTGTTTTGGTTCATTAATAATCATTTTAATGTCCTTAATGTTGTAATCTAATACATCATCTTTATTAGGCCATTTGAAATATTTTTGCGTCCTTTCCATACACTTTACAGACGCTGATTCACCTGATTTTGAAATTACTAAACCGGGAAATGTTTGTCCGTTGTACTCTACAGCTACATATATCCCTTCCTTAATATCTTCTGTTTTTATGGTAGGAATTTGAACTGGTAGGTCCAACTCTGAACCGCTGTCGGTGTCACTATAAATGCTGATGTTTGCATCATCTTCTTCTTCGCTGTCGCTTTGAAATAGTTGCTTCGTAACTTTCTTGGTTGGATTTTTTGGGGTCGGAGCCTTCAAATTCTTTAACTCTTCAATAAAAGGGGTAGAAGTTGCTACTACAGTTTTTCCTGATCGAGCCCTTTTCTTCGTTGGATTTTCGATATTTGAAGCGACCCGTGGGATAGGTAAAATATCCGCAGGACTAACAATAGTCTTATGGAGGAGAATGTCATTTGACACTGGAGTGGACGCTGATGGCAGGTTAGATGTAGCGAGTAGAGGCCCAGGACGATCAGTTGTATCTGCAGCCACGAAAACGTTTGGATCAGGTCTCTCAAACGGCCAAATACCCGTCTTCTTAAATCCTGAGATAGCTGTTGCCATACTAGCTGCCTTCAAGTAAGCTTCTCCGAAGAGAGGACCGACATCATGAATCGTCACACTTTCCCGGGTGGGTTCGCAGCCAAACTCGCACTGCCTGTTCATAGAAGGTCGACATGGGATACATAAATGATACGTCCAGTGGCTGAAGTCGATGTGTGCAATGTGGTGGTAGCACCAGGATGTCTACAAAGTTTTTCTTAGCAAGCTCTAAGACTTCAATGTTTTTTATGTGGGTTGAATGGCCATCTAAAATTAGTAAAACCCTGTCCTCGGAGGTAGGCTTCGCAAATTTAATAAAATGGTGAAACCAAGCCGTAAAGATTTCGGTCTGCATCCATCCAGAAGCATGCGTGAAAATTTTGGTATTCAGAGGAACTCCAATGTCGAATGTCAAGTGATGTCTCACCCGTGGAAAAATAAGAGCAGGAGGGATGTATTCCCCTGCAGCGTTGAAGCAAATTTCTGCAGTTGTAAGCGTACCTCTTTCAGCTGATGATAAAACTCCTACTTGCTTTTTCCCCTTTTTTGAAATAATCTTTGAAGGCTTATTTGGCACGGTAGAGATTCCGGTTTCGTCACAATTATAGATGCGGTTAGGTTTGTAGTTGTGTTTTTGGTATAAGTCTTCCAATAAATCAAAGAACTTTCCGACACTAACTGCGTTAAATGCTGACGCTCGCGCTGCTGACGTTTTTTCTGGAAGTCGAAGTGAAAGAACTGGGTGCCGTTTCATGAAACCAAGCAACCATACTTTACCAGCTTCTTTCTTCTCATTATTGAATCTATGTTCAATGTTATTTCGTATGGCAAACTCGTAGGTAAGATATTTTAAGTCAGAAATAGTTAGCCCAAACAGGCGTTCTTCCATTTTAAGAATATAGTCTACCAACATCCTCTCTTGATCTACCGTGAACACGCAACGGAATCGTCCAAGTTGCTTCACTAAACGTTCTTCTGGTGGTCGCTTTAATCTTCTAAAAAGAGTTGTCGATGGAATGTTATATTGTTTTGCAGAAGAATGAATTGATAAACCACCTTGACATGCAGTTAGAGCCTCAGCCATTGCCTTCTCGTCCCAACTCTGCTGCGAAGTCTTTCGTTTGTAAAAATTAGGCATGCTAAAAAAATGTTGTCACTTAATAACATTGTTAAACTTTTAGGAGGTAAAGTGGAACGTCATTCCGCTTTACCCGCATCAACATTTTTTCTGTACAAACACGATAGCTACTAACCAAACGTGCTAATAAGTTAAAGAAAGAGTATTTATGTCCACAAATAACCATTTTATACAATAGATAATAAATACGGTTAGAAAAACTTACCTGTTGCTGATAAGAAATTTCGTCTTAGTCACCAAATATTACAACTTTTTGTTAAAAAACAATGATCTTGTTTAACTCACATGAACATATCAATGAAAGTGCGCCATATTGAAGTAAATATTGCCAAATGTCAAAAGGTATATTGTGGTAGGAGTTACAACAAAAACCGCCAATTTTGAAATTAAATTTTAAGCTTATTCCGCTTTACCCACCCATTCCACTTTACCTACCTTTCCCCTACTTGGTTTTATCTATATTCATTGTTAGTCCCATCTTTTTGCTTTTTCTGTTAAATATTTCTACAAGAATTTGTAAATTTTCTGCCATGATTGTGGTATCGTCTGCAAATCTTATGTTATTACTGATGCTCCCTCAAATCTTTACACCTTCAGTTGTTTCCCATAGTGCCTCCTGAAATATTGGTTGGGAGTACATATTAAATAATTGTTGCGTCAGCACACCCCTGTCTGACTCCTCTTTGAATTCCTACTTGGTTAGTCCCACTATCTTCCACTCTAACGACCGCTGTTTGATTGTAGTATACGTACAAAACCTGTTATGTACTTAGAAAGTAAAACTGATCTCATGAAAATGATCTTAGATCACTATTTTTTCGGTAGTTCCTCCCGTAGGTGAAAAAAATTAAGTATCTAATCTCAAACTGAATTATATGTTTAAAATCCAGTAGACTGTGTTACTCAGTCCATCAGCTTTCCCCAGTTATCTTATTCTTTTAAAATTTCATGGTATGGTGTTAAATTGAACTACTTTTATACTTTAATTTGCATAAGTTTGAATGTGCAATGGTCACCTTGTATATGTGTGCGTAATCTTGATGATAGAAATGTTTTTGCAACATAAACCAGTGCGTTTCCAGTGCGAAACAGTTCAATAATGATACAAATACTCGGCAGTTATTGTTATAACCTTTTTTAAATAATAAATGAGAATAACCTTTAGTTGCCAATTTCCCTTTCCGACCACTCACATGTTTTTGGTTTTCTACGGTTAGAATTCGAAGCTTTTTCTGCAGTTTTTCATCTTCGGTACATAGAAATGAAGCCGTTTGATCAAAATTGGCTTATCAATGAGAAAATCCTTCAAACTGCGTTTTATCATTGCAAAAGATTCTTACAAAGTTCTCTAATTCCTATTGCTATTAAAATTAAATTGTTATTTTGAAATAAATTTGTACAAATGTCATGTGTTAGATGTCAGATGTCAAAACTGAAAGCAAGTTACGTTCTCACGCATTGCCATCTCTCGAAGGCTAGATTAATGTCAACTCACCTTCGCATAGTGAGTTTTTTTTCTCACTAAATTTTGCATAGCCAATCCATTAGCCAAAAAAGACTAATAGGGTTAAAAAATTTATTATTTTTGTATATTTTCAGGAGACTCCAAGAGCCAACACGAAACAAGAAGCGGGGACGTAGTACGAGGACAATACAGTCTAACGGATCCAGATGGCAGCCGTAGAACCGTCGACTACGCTGCTGATCCTCAAAACGGATTCAACGCCATCGTTCAAAGAACTATCGCTCTCCGACCACACTAAATTTGCAGTCAGTACCATTTTCTTATAAGTTAAAAATGATTTGGTCTTTCTAGCTTTCTGTGTTTGTAATATCGATGAATAGAAAATAAAGTTATTGTTTACATAGTATAAAGGTTAAAATCAATTCTGTCCAAAATAGTTTTTTTTTCTTCCAAGAAGCATTTCCAATTTATATTCAACATGCTGAATATCAAGGGAGTAGACTGAGAAACCAAGGTATATAATTAAATTTTAATAAGAAGTAATATTCCTAAGGAAGGTAAATATACTCATGATTCTAATTATTATAACACTAATTTTGATAGACCATGCAAAAAAATATAACATTAAAAAAGTAATAACTACAAATTTATATGTCAAAGAAATGTGAGTCTTCTAGTTTAGTTTTTTTAAATTCAATTCTACTTCTGGGTTTATGTTCTTTTCGGCAAAAAAAATAGCACAGAAACTTGATTTGCCAATACAAAAAGTATTGGTGGCCACACCTTTTCAGGCAGTTTGGTTTTGGTTCAATTTTCATCAAATTTCTTCTTTCGTGACGATATTATAGTATTTTTGAAGTAGTGTCTTCTTTGCAATCATGTGTATCGAATCATAGAAGTTGAAAGAAGTCATGGAATTTGCCTAGAAATAACATAATTGCTATCATTTTTAAACTTAATTCGTTTTCTTTCTGGTTTAAATACTTGCAAGAGATACTTAAATAATCCGTTTATATACATTATAAGAGTTTATAAGAGTAATTTTATAAGATTAACATTACTATACTTTATTTCACGTTAAGAATAGCATGTTTGGTTTATGCAGATCAGTGTTGACAAAACTCTCAGGTACGTGTTGCTACTAGACTGTCGATATTAGTGATGTGCAAGTTCGGAACTAACCTAGTTCGAGTGGCTACCGTGAGTAGGACCATCGAAACCTTGAAACGACATCTTGTCCGAATCTGTCTCTTGTCAATAAATGAAGATTAGATGGCCAACATTTTTTTACTTTAGAATTATTTTGATTTGTTCGGCTTTTGTCAATATAACTGCAACGAAGTCATCATTTTAATTATTATTTTTATTCCGGTTTAAGTTATGAATACTTAAGTTTAAGATTTATATAGGATTTGCTTGTAGTATCTCTTCTTGTTGCCCAAATAATGACGGTATTTAGTATAAGTTTTGTTTTTAAAGACCTTATGGCCGTTAAAGGGAGAGAATCTTTAAATCCAAATATGGTTGTGTAAATTAATCCATACATTTGTCCTCCCTGTATCCCTATGATTCCTATAGCATCGATAGGACAACGGATCTCGTGATCAATGCTATAGGTATTCGTATAATCGTAGGGTTACAGGGACTGCAGAAAGAAAATATGACGATGAAGTCGAGAAGTTGTATGATCAGATCCAAGACATCTTACAGAAACTTAATAAATACGAAATTTTATATATTATAGGCGACTTCAATGCAAAAATTGGGGAAGGTCGACGAGGTCAGACTGTGGGTCCTTATGGTTTAGGACAACCTAACGATCGAGGACAGAAATTGTATGAATTCTGTAAAGAAAACGATATGGTCATTGCAAACACCTGGTATAAACTACCCAAGCGACGACTATACACTTGGAAAGCCCCATTTGATGATGGCAATAACCCTGAGTCTTCAAGAAATCAAATAGACTATATACTTGTAAATGAGCGTTTCCGAAATGCCGTCAAAAAAGTCACTACATATCCTGGGGCAGATATTGGATCTGATCATCAACCACTCGTAGCAGATATTAAACTAAGATTGAAACGAATTCAGCGACAAAAACCAATGTACTTAACTTTGACGATATAAACATAAAACATAACATTAACAAAGAATTTAACAATAGAATAAAAAACATCGGGGAACAACGAGAAGATCCAGAAGAACTATGGAGTGAATTTAAAAACCAAGTCAACGAAATCTCCACAAACAATGATTATAGATAAAACTTAATCAAGAAAAATAACTGGATGACAGACGACATCTTGAAATTAATGGAACAACGTCGACTGATAAAATCTAATGTCACAAAATATAGACACCTCCAGAGAATGTGGTCCAGATGATACACCAACTAAGTTGCTGAAACAAAACAGTACTGATCAGTACTGTTTTGAATATATTATGTTCAACATTTTTAAATATTTTAACTCTTAATCTTTATCTCCTGAAGAAGCTGACAAAAATCAGCGAAATATAGAGTAATAAAAGAAAAAAGAGTTTTTTTTTTAATATCAAACCGCATACCTGATACTCCAATATATATATATATATATATATATATATATATATATATATATATATATATATATATATATATAATATATATATATATATATATATAATTAAAGTACTTTTGTATAACTTTTTATTGACATCAGCTTTGGACCTTTTTGATTTTTCTACTCTACTCCAAAAGTAACATATTCTCCCTGAAAATGTTTGTTCCTCTGTGTTTTCTTCTCTTTATGCAACGCTCACCGCGGATTTCAAATGCAGTATTCCTGGAATTCAATAACTACTTTTTATTTTTTTGTACATACTCCGTGTATATTCCAGCATTCAATGTTTGTTATCCATCGAGATTTCTACACAATTTTATGGAATTTTTAACAACAATAACTTTTTATGTATGACAAGGAACTGCATTCTCATTCTGCAACTCATTCTCCTTCATCCAACCTTGGGACTTGCTGTGATGCAGGTACATGATAGGAAGAGGATACAGGTGTTGATACAGAATAAAACTAGTGAACACGCTTTCGAAATAATTTATTTATAAATAACCTAAATTAAAATAAGTTAGTTTATACGTTTTTTGGGTTAACAACATTCACATCGATTATTTTATGCTTCAATAAAGTATAATAAACTGAACACCTCGGTAAATAAACCAACAATAATTATAAAGAGAGAAAAAGGAACGACAATATAGTATATAAAGGAATCTAAAAAGTTCAACAACAAACAATAGGTGATATCTATGTGACGATTCTTTAGTCTTTATCAAAGAGTACAACAACCAAGTATAAAATTTACTGGCATATTTTTAAAGTAAGTATTTATATTTATCAGAAGAAACCATTACACTGCGTTAACGTTTCTTTTGGAGCGGTTTAAAATGCCTCCAGCTGTGCCGTAATTTTTTTTTTCTATATAGAAATTTTACGTAGAAAACATTAAAAACCATAATTTTATACGTAAATAACTTTTAAAAATATGTGCACAAATATTCGTTTTAAGTAGTAACCCGGATTTCGGTATAGAATACTGACGAAATTGTGCAAAAATATAGACAATGTACGTTTGGACAATATCAAAAATATTGACTGAAACGCACAAGACCAAATAGGTCATAGATGGGTGCACTTATAGATGTTTACTTCTCTCTTACTGGAATTTTCAAAAGCGTTACTACGAAATTGGTTACGATTGGTACATAAATTGGTTACAGCTTTTAAAAACAGGCACAGAAGTGTTCTTCATTATGAGAAATGACCCTGATTTTGACGTAGAATATTGTCGATTTAGTACAAAAGAATGGACGATACACGTTGTGACCTTTATCAAATGAATTTTCATACCTCATGGTGCCAAAAATGTTGACTAGGCACAAAAAATCAATATTTAATCAGTTTCTTCAGTTAAAATTAGTTATTTTTTTTAAATTGCGAGTAATATTTTTATACCATTCCTCTTCTTTTAATATCGTGCCCAGATTTAAGCATTGGTAGCCTCCATGACAATTTACCAATATGTTTCTCGATCTTATGAGATATGTAACAATTCATCTGCTGATAGGCCAGTCCATTGAAGTGAAACATCACTCAAAAGTGTAAAATCTAAACGTTTCAACACGGAGAATCATGTGTAGTATTTTGTGACAGGGAGAAATGTTGCGTGTAGGTTTTTCCTCACCATATTACCTCACCTTATTATTAAGCTTTGTTGTCGTACTTCTTCTTCAACATCTCCGTAACTAGTTATATCTATTCACAGATATCTAAACCTTCCTGCTTTATTATTTTCCTATCAGATTTTACATCATATTGGGTATTTAGATGTTGTCATACATTTGGATATTTCTGCTGATATTATCATATTGTATTTCTCAGCTGTTGTATTGAAGATATGTGTTAATCTTTGGAGCTCGTCTTCTGTCTCGGCGATTAATGCGGCGTCGTCTGCATACATATATTGATTTCTTGTTCCCATTCTGTAACCGACCTTTACGTACTGCTTGTATTATTTGGTCCTTTATTATATTAAAGAGAAGTGGGCTTACAGGAAATCACCGAGGCAAAATTCAATGTAGAATCACTGTGGAAGGACTCTTACAAGAGAAATGTACCAAAGGAGGCTAGCACAGAAGATACACTGGAATGTAGCTTGGAATATACAACGCAAAATGATGGAGGGAGTGATTTATATGGTGGAAAGTGGTCTTGATGTTTTCTTTGGGGATTTTGCTTATTATGTATATAACGAAGCGAATGCGGAAGAAAAGCAACATATACAGGACAACTAGGACTTGAGTTCAAGGCAGATGGATGCGTAGGAGGCATTAGATTGTCGACTGGTAAGTTTTGGACTAAGACACTACAGTAATTGTTTGATATAAGGTGTTCAAGATGAGAAAATTCATCTTTGAGGTAGTAGGGTCCAAACAAAATGATCAATTAATTTTTTTTTCTTTAAAATACTACTTACTTTAAAAATATGCCCCATAGAATAAAACGAATTTAAAGTACGTATATGATTTTTATAAATATTAATATTTGTTTTAAAATAAAATCGAACAAGAATAGAAAAAATTAAAAGGCATACCTAATTAATAAAATGTATTGTAAAATGTACAGAAAGTGATCGAAATATTAATTAAATTGAAGTATTTCTTCAATAAAATTGTTTGATTTGCCTCTCTTTTTAAAAAATAAAGATAACTGAGCAAGAAGTGATCTTTTATCCCGTCTTAAAATAATCTTAGATATATATATTAAATTAAAGATCTTTGTAAATTTTATAAAATTAGTTATTTTGTAAAATAAATAAATATAAACATATTTCATTTACTAGTGAATCCCAAGGGGGATTTCTTAGAGATGAGATCATTTTGACAATACTGTCTTACTTATACACAGGGTGGTTCGAAAATACATATTATTTTACCTTCAGTTCCTACAACAAATATTTCTTTGACTTAGTAACTTGGGAGTAAATCTAGAATTACTGCAGATACATATTTTTTGCGTTGACACAAAGTATGCTGCAGAAAATTTCCAGTTTCGTATAAAATACAAATTTTTTGCATTCATAAAACAAACATTAGTAAAATCTAAATGTCAAATACAACAGACCAGTCAAATAGTGATTATAAGTGCAATAGTCTTATTTTTTGTAATATTGCTAACTTAGCAAACGTATACACCAGCATTGCTAACATTTTTAATAATTTTGAACAAAAATACTCCATATTAGATTCATTATTTCATTTATTATTAGAAAAACCTACTTTTCCGAAACTTTTCAAACAAAACACCAATGGAAATATAAAAATACACGAATATATGAGCCTTTCATATAACAGTTTTCATTGTTTGTGCAAAGATTTTCAAATATAAATCAAAGATATTTATAATACTAGAATGCTTTTCCGAAACTTTATTTATTTTTAGGTCTGAGTGATCATAGAGGCAGGAACCAAAATTCCTATAATTACATCCATCCCTCGCCAACGGTGGAATCTAAACAAAGATATGTAGGATAGCTTTTCTGTGGAACTGGACAAGACTCTAGGCTGGATACCCCCTACCATCAGAAATTACAAGATTCGGTGGAGCCGTAATATGTAGCATCTTGAAGATTCCTTAAAACTATCTACTATTCAGTTTCTAGTACGTCCCTGACCCGAGTATAAATATTTCCATGTTTATTTGTGATGTAAAAGAAAAAAAATCCAAAATTCCGGTTATAACTAGGACGTTAAATATGGTTAGATTTATTTGTATACTTTAGTTCTACGATTTTAAGAAGTTGTTTGATTCAAGGTCGTTTTGCGATATGTTTAACAGGAATTTTGGATTGTTGGATTACGAGAGCGGGGAAGTCATGAATGTCAGTTTTAAAAGAGTAATCACTATTTCTATGTATCTTGAGATTTGTGTCGTTTGTAACAATTGTGAAAGATAACCACATGTTGCCATTGTGTCCAGTTTTACATATTCCAGTTTTGTAAACAGCCGACTCAAAGGTGTGTTCAAATACCCCAACTTTCAACCTCAGATTTGTATTCGTCCTAATTAAGAAGTCGTTTCAGAATACTTTTCCCAGTGGAGAAGAACTTGTTCATGTGGCAGGGAGTTTAAATTCCAGTTCCCAACCTCAGAAATTTAAAGTTATACAGTGAAATCCAGGTAACTTTTTTGTTTGAACTCTTAAAGTAAAAATAAACAGTTTAAAACAATAATTGCTTTCATAACAATTTAAATTGTAATAGTTAATATTGTACATTTTAGGGTGTGGCCATTGCTGTTATTTTATTTGTTCTTTGTTGTAAAATTTTATCTTGACATATGACAGCTAGCTTTATTATTTTTGACATTGGTTTGTTTTGTATTTAAAAGAAGGTTAACCTCTCTACATATTTTCATATTAAAAGATATCTTTTTATTTGTAATGATTTATTTCTGCCACAGTTTATAGCCCAGTGACAATTTTTTGTAAGTTTTGACAAATCTCCCATTTGTAAATAGAGTTTGTACACAGAAAGGACATGTAAGTTTTTTTGTTATTTTGGTATATATCTTTGTAACTATTTATATCGTAATTATTTTTGTATTATCTGTATGTGTAACTGTTTGTGTTGAGACAACAATACATGTTATTTTCTCTAAACCAATTTGTTTAACTATTTTTATTAGTTTTTTTTATAATTTATAATTATTATTTATATAAATTATTATATAAATAATTTATTATTTTTAATTATTTTTATAAATTTTACTCCCTGTATATAAATATTTTTGAAGGTAAAATAACAGCTCCTCTTTATGAACGACGCTGTAAATATCGGAGATTTCTTAGATAACTTGGTTAAAACAGTTTTAACGTTAACTCTACATTGAAAAACAGTTATTAATATTAAACTTCGGGTTTTTGTAACATTGTCAGACTCTTTGATGATCAACAGACGTTTTAGTAACAGTTTTCACACAGAAAAACACCCAATACAGCTTTGGTAACCATTTGGGACGTTTCAACAAAAACTACACTTCGACGCTTGTCCGATATGCACGTGAACAGTGCATATGTCCTTGAGTTCGCTACAAACACTGTCAAGGACATTTTTGTTTGATTCTGGAAAAGGTTTGAGTGGTTCATTTTGATTTATGTCACCGTCACTTTTGATACAGCTGACTGGTCTACTTCTGGTCTGCAGTAAATTCGGGTTTGTTAAGATTCTGTCTTTGGTCAATGAGCTACAAGACTGCGCCTTGTATAAGCCGTTTCTTCTGAAGAGACCGGCTAACGGGATGCAAATTTTCTTTTGCACGTGAAAATACTTTCCCAGCATCCTTATTTTTCTAATTCCACATTTTTCTAACTTATTGCACTCAATATCTCTATCTAAGCTTCTACCAACAGAATCTCTTCGTGACATTCGCAGTTTCTCATCGTAGTTTTTTGTTTTCTCTGGCGGCTTTTTAGAGGATCGGCTTAAGCCGTTAAATATCTTTGCGCCTACGCTTTTTACCTTGGGCGTCAATGATCCCGGCATGCTCAGCAAGGTTGTCGATACAACCAATGTTTGAGTGTTATCCTCCTGTACTTCTGTAATTCTATTTAGGGACTGGCTTTCCCGCAATCGTGTTTTATTACCCTTCTTTCGGCAAATTCTAAAACAGAAATATTTAAACATGAATTATCTACGTCACAAATTAGTCACAAAAAAAACACTGATCCACCGCTGTTTAGGTACAAAAATTTCTGAGTTAGGCACAAGGTTTTTCTGGAATCACTTCATGTTTGTAATTGCTTATAATTGGCAAAAAAAGACAAAAGTTGAAGATAGGCTGTTTACCGCTTATTCGCGATGGAAAATTAATAACACGTGTGTTAATTTTTGAAATTATTGTTAGAAAATCACAAATATTAAACAATAAACAATATAGCCTATTCATTGCATACTGTAACGCGAAAGACTGTGCAATATCTAAGAAACTGATATGAAATGATATGCTGAACTGAAACTTAAGAAATACTTGACTGTTTTCAATACACGATATTCAATTCGCTGAATGTTAAAAACACATTATGGATTATAAAAAAACGATACTAACTTAAGTCGAGCCCAAAATTAACCGCGGAAGAAAAACAAACGGTGGATAAAAACACAACAAATAAAAAACCGTTTTATCTAGCGAAACCTGTAGAATTTTATGGTAAACATGGTAGGCTTTGACTTTTTAGCCGCTAGTTGATGAATCGGAGGGCTAGTCAATGTCGTCACAGACATGTCGTCAAGGCATCGAAAGAGCTTTATAAGCATTGGAAAAACGTTATAAGGGCCAAAAAAGAGTAGAAACGTCGTTATAATTATCGCAAAAGTGTCAAAATCAAATAAAACAAGTGACGAAACCCCGTAAAAGAAACAAAAAAATTTAAAAACCAATGGTAAAAAAATGACAAAAGGTGTCAAAATTGATGAAAAAATCAAAACTTAAAGTCAGCAGAATGAAAAAGCTCTAACAATGACTAAAAAGCGCCAAAAGGCCAGAAAAAAGTGTCTAAAATCACAAAAAATCTTTTAAGCATTGAAAAACGTAAAACCATTAAAAACACGTCAAAAGCGTTGAAAAAATGCGTCATAAGCGTTGAAAAACGCAAAAAAAAAAAAAAAGCGTTAAAAAAAGCGTTAAAAGAGCGTTCGAGAGCGACTAGAAATTACAAAAGAGTCTCGAAATATTCGCAAAAACGTCAAAAAAGTGTCAAATATAAACAAAAGCATTAAAAGGGTCCAGAATACTTCTAAAGCGAAGAAAAATCAGGTATCGAAAGCGTACAAAAGCGCCAAAAGGAAAGAAATATATCAAGACCAAGAAAACCCATTTAAAGCGCGGAAATGGCGATAAAAATGGGCCAAAAATTACCAAAAAACCGTGTAAATAGTTCGAAAACTACTAAAACACCACAATTGAAAAAAAAGTACAAGGATACGATAAAGCTTCAAAAGTATCTATGTAGTTCCAAAAGTTAAGGAAAACTGCGGGGACTGCGTCAAAAATGTACCGACAAAGCATAAAAACCGCCACATATGACAAAAAGTGTCAAAAGCATCGAAAACACATCGGAGAAGTATGAAAATGACGGTCAAGTTTTAAAAGCAATGAAAAAGCGTAAAAAGTGATGATAAACTATCAAAAATGTAAGAAAAAAACAAAAGCGTCTAAAAATACACCCCAAAAGTGTCAAAAGCATTGAAAGAGCGTTGAAAAAGCGTTGAGACCGTTTAAAAAGCGTGAAGAGCGTCTAGAAGTTACTAAAAAGCCTACAAATAGTCGCAAACACGACGAAAAGTCACCAAGATTAAAAAAAAACATACCAAAAACAAAACTAATGAGGTAAAATCGTAATCAGTTATGACAAAATGCCAGAATTGGCGATAAAGTGTCGATTCGCGTTAAAAAAATCGTTAACAATGTCCAAAATACGTCAACAGGCATCACAATACTTCAAAAACAAAGAAAAGACGACCCAAAGCCAACGAAAACGTGTCAAAAGTGTAGATAAAGCGGCTAAAAAAATAACTTCAAAGGCACAGATTTGGCTTAAAAACACTGAAGTGTGTCACTAGCGTACAAAGTGACTAAAAAGTCTCAAAAGCGAAAGGCGACTGAAGCGCGTCAAAAGTAGCTGAAAAACGTTACAACCGTCAAAAAACCATCAAAAGCGTTACGTGATGGAAAAAGCATTTAAAGCGTTACCAGTGAAGAAAAGCATCAAAAGCGGAGTGATGAAAAAGCGTGACCAATAGTAAAAAAAATTACCAAATTTGCAGATAAAAAAAATCGCCAAAAATGACAAAAATCGTTTAAATGGATATAAAACATGTATCACAAGTGTGGAACAACCACCAAAATCACGGCAGGCGATGAAAGAGTATAAGTTACGCTAAAGCATCGAAAAAGCGTCAAGAGTGTCGAATAAGCTATGAAAAAGCCGGAAATACGGAAAAAGTAACGATTTAAACTCAAAGTGTCGAAAACAATAAAAAGAATCGTCATAAAAATTACGAAAAAGAGTCGAAAGCAACAAAAAGGGGTCGAAAGCAATGAAAAAGCCTCGAATGCAACGAAAAAGCGTAAAAAAACTAAAAAACTTCAAAACACAAAAAAAAAGATGTGAAACGTATTGAAGAAACGTCATATGCTTCCAAAGTGACTAAAAAGCAAAAAAACTAAAAAGGCTCAGAAGTGATGAAAAAATGTTGTTCGTCACTTGACAAAGCAATTTGTATTCAAACAAGGAAGCATCGAAAAGCATTTATTATGTCGATTTAATGGATAGCTGCACATTGTAAAATTGAGCGTTTAAATTAGCAAGTATAATTATATTTTTTAAAAACCCAACACTTCATTTATTAGTATAGACGTATTAAAAAGAAACACGAGGTAATAATTAACGGTAAATAGAATTTTACCAACCTGTGATTACGTTCAAAAGTAGAATTTGCATGGTTCCTTTCGTTCTTGTCATTACAAGTTCCGTTTTTCTCTTTTTGGTCTTTTGTTTCATTGTTATTTGAACTTGATTCGAAACTGACACTGTTATTAGTCAAATTCGTAAATCCGCTCGGTCCAGCTCCAGTACCAGGTTCCTATAAAAAAAAAATACACATGTAAAGATGGATATTGACTATTAACCTTTTATAGACAGGTGTTATATTTATAGATCACAAAAGAAGTGTCTTAGAGAAGAGAAGAGAAGAGAAGAGATGTGAAGAGAAGAGAAGAGAAGAGAAGAGAAGAGAAGAGAAGAGAAGAGAAAGAGAAAGAAGAGAAGAGAAGAAAGAAGAGAAGAGAAGAGAAGAGAAGAGAAGAGAAGAGAAGAAAGAGAAGAGAAGAGAAGAAAGAGAAGAGAAGAGAAGAGAAAAGAAGAGATGAAGAGAAGAGAAGAGGAAGAGAAGAGAAGAGAAGAGAAGAGAAGAGAAGAGAAGAGAAGAGAAGAGAAGAGAAGAGAAGAGAAGAGAAGAGAAGAGAAGAGAAGAGAAGAGAAGAGAAGAGAAGAGAAGAGAAGAGAAGAGAAGAAAGAGAAGAGAAGAGAAGAGAAGAGAAGAGAAGAGAAGAGAAGAGAAGAGAAGAGAAGAGAAGAGAAGAGAAGAGAAGAGAAGAGAAGAGAAGAGAAGAGAAAGAAGAAAGAGAAGAGAAGAGGAGAGAAAGAGAAGAGAAGAGAAGAGAAGAGAAGAGAAGAGAAGAGAAAGAGAAGAGAAGAGAAGAGAAGAGAAGAGAAGAGAAAGAGAAGAGAAGAGAAGAAGTGAGATAAGGAGAGAAGTCAGGCAAGGTTGCATACGGTAGCCGTTATTGTTTTATGCTCATTCTGAAAAAATCATACAAGAAGCTTGAACCTTTTTTAACATCGTATTAAGGCAATAAACAATAACTGTTTTGAATAAATAATGATCTTACCTGTGAATCACTACTGTCATCGTGGCTATCCCTTCTTGTCTCTATAGATTTCGAAGGTGTATTGAGTTTTTGAGCACGTTTCTTGCGCTTTTCACTGTCGTCGTCACTCGCGTCCGACGAACTGCATGACGCTGTTCGGCTTTTATGAAACTTAGCTCTTCTTCTCTCGTATGATGGAGATTGCACGTGACGATTGTATGACGAGAAGCATTTTTCTCTGAAAATGTAAAATACGGTAAATAAACACTAAACAACACGACTTCGATCAGATTTTGTTGGTTGTAAAAGCTGTAAACTCGAAATTTCAATAGGATTGATTATCGATGACTCATTTTCTAAAGAATACCCTGTTTCTGACTAAAAACACTTTTACTGATAACCGAATAGTGATACTCACCAACTTCTGGTATCACCGCTCCAACGACATCAGCACCCTTGCACTCCTCTCCGGATGCAAATATAGATATCACTGGGGGTTGGGGGATAGTTTTGAGTGTTCCCAACGGCAACTTGTTATCTGATCTTTGGCTTTTGTTACACGTCGTCGACGACTTTTTGGCACTGGCAGGGTACTTCAGCTCAATCGGCTTCCTCTTTTCGGATTCCGCTAAACGTTCTTGCAACGTCAAATTCAAACGGCCTTCGGAACGGGAGCCACGGCGATTGAGGGTAGGGGCCAAGTCTTCGCGACCGGCGCACGAAGAGATGTCCTCTTCTTCTTCGTCCTCTTGGACTATACTGCATTTTCGAGATCGCTGAAATCAAAAATAAGTAAATTGATGAATAACCAATTAATAAATATATTATGTACATTTATGGTATAGTACATCCACTAATAATTTTCCAACATAAATATGCCTCACTCTGATTTCAAAGAGACCGCCTTTCAAATCAAGGTTGTCAGATATATTTCCTAAAATTCTAAGGTTATATTTAAAAAATATTCTCTATTCTCTATTCGTTATTATTCAATTGCTAGTCAACGAACGACACTCTTAAAAAATAATATGAACATATTCTCAAAAAATATATCTATATAAATTAATTAACTAGGTACTAATATTTCCATGGACTCTTCACTAATGAATTAAAGCAACTGTGAACTTTGTATATATAACTTATACTCTAAGTAATTTTCGAATATCGGCAACATTGTAGTCTGGACAGAATTTCGAGGTGATTTCGATGTTCGGTCTATATCGACGTTGCCATGTTGGTGAATTTAGCGGTAATACTCTTATAGATATAATGATCGACTTTTAAGAAATCAGACAACTTTTAAGAATCCAAGTTCTGAAAAACGGTTTCAAGAATTGTATTATTTTTTCCAAATTTTATTGATTTTATACCTTACCTGGAAACATGAAAAATTGCAGATATATTAATTATGGTATTAAAGTTACATTCAATAATTTTAAACTTGGCAACAGCGAAGCGCATCGCAATAAATCTTGATGGAACACCTGTTTGTCTGGCTATATGACACCCTAAATAGTTCATTTTGCAAGCAGCTATCAGAGGCGGATAATAAGGTAAGTAATATTATATTTTTCTAGGATGGCATTTTGGAGACCATTTGATACGAATGATCAAGATGCATCAACTTCTGTGTTATCAATAGATAATGACAATTATGTTAATGACAGCCCCGAATTAAAAAATAAAGATTTGCACGTACAATCCCAAAGAATAGTTTTAAATATGTATGAGTGTTTGAAAAAAGAAAATATTTTGATGGCTGATAATGCAATTGTTTCGAGAATTCATGTATTAACAAAAATCGGGTATAAGACGATATATACAATTATTAAATTAGGCATTGTTACAGATCATTCCTTAAAACGAAAGCGACCAAATAAAAAATTGGGTAGGATTGACACTGCTGCAAAAGACGTTATTCAGCGAACAGTTTACAATTTTTACAAAGAAAATAGAGTGCCTACTTTAGAACTGATTCGTGAAAAATTGAGAGATTTCCCTGAATATAATTATACATCTTTGGAAACACTGCGCGAGATTTTGATAAGTTGTGGATTTAAATATAAGAAATTAGATAATCGAATGGTAATAATGGAATCTCGGCGTATTGTTGAACTTCGACGAGAGTATTTGAGTAAAATAAAACAGTATCGTAATTCAAACAGAAACATAATCTATTTAGATGAAACCTGGTTCGATACGCATGATGTTGTCAAGTACGGCTGGGTTGACAACACAAACAAGTGTGCATTAAATACACCCTGTTCACGAGGAAAACGTGTTATTATTCTTCATGCCGGAAGCAAAGATGGTTTTGTATCTAATGCATTGCTATTGTCGGCCAAAAATATAACAAAGTCTTCTGCCGATTATCACGAAGATATGACAGCCGATTTATTTGAAAAGTGGTTTGTTGAACAACTCTTGCCCAATATTCCGCCGAATTCAGTGATTGTTATGGATAATGCGTCGTATCATTCCCGCATATTAAATAAAATACCTAATAATAACACGAAAAAGGACGAAATTTTAAAATTTATGGAACTTAAAAATATCACTGTTCCTAAAAAGATTCCAGTAAAAAAAGAATTAATTAGAATGATCAAAAGTCGGAATTTCAAAAACGAATACGTTATTGACACCATTTGCAGCAGGCACGGCCATACTCTTTTGCGATTACCTCCATACTATTGCATTTTTAATCCAATTGAAATGGTTTGGGGTACCGTAAAAAAACGATTGCGAAAATATAATCAGTCACCAACATTAAGCGCAGTGGCCATTGAGAATATTCGAGAAGTAATTAGTGGCATTAATAGCGATGTGTGGAAAAGTTGCGAAGCTCATGTTGTAAAAATAGAAAATGAATATCCTGTTTTACCGGCAATAGCACCAATAGTTATACAACCTGGGAACGATTCGACTTCAGAAGACTCTGACGATTCTTTTTAGTCCTTCTAATTAATTTCTTTACAGCTATCGCGATGCATCTTGAACACTAGTATTCATTATTATACAGTGTGTCGCATTTAAGATGAAGACACCTCTATATATCAGCTATCAAAATACATACAGATTAGAAATTTTGCAGTCATACATGTTGATAGTGCACATATTTTTAAGATAGTTAGTTATCTGAAATTTAAATTTTAAACGCGGCTTACTGCGAATCCACAAACAGGGTAAATTTTCGATATTTTGCTTCGCGTTAGAGAAATCGGAAAAACTTATTTGGAAAAGTTATTCCACTTATTGTAACCGCACATTCCAAAATTCATGACAAAATTCGCAATTTTAGTTTTTCAGTATTATTTGTAATCTCGATCCTAAATCTACAATTGGCTGTCTAAAGATGCATCTCGGGACAGCCAACTGTCCGTTTTAGAATCCTGACTACAATTGAAGAGCTTATTTCCAAAGTGTCTTAAATCCATATAATGAAATCCATGAAATTACAGATTTTCATACAAATTTAACATACAAATTATACAATTTTACAATTTTCATATGCACTTTTAAATGGCAAATAAGAAGTTGTTTTGGTACATATAACTTTATTTTAGACTTGAAGAAATCTATAAAGTTTAAAAAAAGAAAATTAAAAAAATCGAAATTTTGGATTTAAGACACTGGAAATAAGCTCTTCAATTAATGAAAAAAGTAAAAGTGCGAATTTTGACATAAAACTTTGTTATGTGGGGTTATAATAATATTTGGAACATCTTTTCCAAATAACTTTTTCCGATATCTCTAACTCGAAGCAAAATATTGAAGATTCACTCTGTTTGTGCATTAACAGTAGGCCGTGTTTAAAAATTAAATTTCAGTTGATTATCTTAAAAAATGTGAATTGACAACCTGTATGACTGTGCAAAATTTCAAATTGGTATTTATTCTAATAGCCGAAATATAGGGGTATCTTCATCTTAAATGCGACACACTGTATAGAGTCAGAACAAAAAAAAACAAAAAACAAAAAAAAATATAAAAACAAAAAAAAAAATAATAAAAAACAAAATGAAAAAAAAACTAACTTTATATTCTTACTAACATACCTAACCCTTTCCTTTCCTGGCAAGGAAGGCTCATACCTCCTCGTGGTCCTTGCTGGACAGACAATATTTTGAGATTTTCTGTCCTTGCTGGATAGACAATCTTTTAAAATTTTCTGACAGAATGAACCATTATTTACAGATAATTGTAAAAAAATATTATGGTTTATGTAAAAACTAAATAATAAGTCCAATATTCTTATAAATCACTAAAATTAACAAGCTTTAATTTGAAAGAATTAATTTGTTATTTATTAGATGTTGTGAGCCCGCTCACATTTGAAAAAAAAAAACTGATTCTGTCCTTTGAAGATTCCTATTCAAAAATACCGCGTTTAAACAAATCGAAGGTTGAAGGGTGCCGGACATTTTTGCAGGAAACAATTCAAATTCAAAAGATCTCCTTTTTCTGCTACGGAAAATATTACCCCAATTTCTCACCAAAATCAATGTCGAGACTTTAGTTTAAATACTCTTGAATCTCAAAAATACTCATTTACATATTTTTCAAGCCTCGAAAATGCATATTAGGTATCGCATTTTTCGGATTTTAAATCGCCTATATCTCCAAAACTATTAACTTTTGAGAAAAATGACATAGATCTTATTTAGAGTCATCCAAAAACCTAAAAAATATTTTTTGGAGCACAAAAGGTGATATTTTGAATTTGTTTTAAAAAATTGTTCTGTAAAAAAAATTTTCCTGAATATAATTATGTAAAAATTAATAAAAATTATGATTTTTCTTGAAATATGCGTTTGATGAACTGATCCCTTTTCTTAATTTCCACGCCAATGGTCGGCATTTGCATCAAAGAAGCTCAAAAGCCGCCACTTGGAAAATTGACTTTGGAAAAAGTATATATAAACATATCTACTTTTAAAATTGCATTTGCATTTGAACATGCAAAAATATTTTAAAAAATTTTATTTAAAATAGACAGTTGGCTCAAATTTTGAAACAATTTGCCAATACCACCAAATATGTATACCGATATGGCAATTTTTCAACTACCTCATACGTTATTAAGTATATGGAACAAAGATATCCCTTAATTGTTTGAATATAAGTGAGAGGCAGTCATCATCTCGAAGGAGTAGGCATAACTTTTAATACAGTGTTGCTGTATTTCTGTTACAGTTTTAAATGCAATTCTTGTAGATTTTTAGCTGTGGTAGCTTGGAAATAAAACAATAATTAACTTAATATTAAAACATAAATATTATTTTTATAAGACAAAAAAACAGCTAAAAATTTTTTTTCTAAATAATTAAATTAAAATTAAATGCATTTAAAAAAAAATCTCTAACCAATTAAATGTTCGAACAAACCACCATTTTGCTCTAAACAACATCCGAATCTATCAACTTAAGCAAGTCTCATTGCATTCACTGATTTGGCTGTACCCGACTGACAGAGTTGCACCATTTTTTCTTGCAATTTCCGCTAAATTGATAGCTCGTTCGAATTCATGCCGATATAATTTTGATTTTATTACCCAGAAATAAAAATCCAAAGGTGCTAAATCTGCTGATCTAGGGGCCACTTTATTGTTCCTCGTGTAGACATTAATCGTCCACGGAATGTGTGTTCCAAATAATTTGTAATTTCGATTGCATTACGTGCTGGGTAACCATCCTGTTACCAATATGTTACCAATCATGTTACCTGGGTAACCAATAAATCTAGATACTTACGTCAATGTAGATTTCCCGTAATAAAA